GTGGAAGTAAAGAATTCAACTTTTCAAGCATGCATGAATGAGTTCATATGCATTTATGGACTTTGAGTTCTATCAATTCTTTTTTTCGTTGGGATGAAAGAATTCTACTTTTCAAGCATAGTCCCTATTCTACTAGGGTTTTTGAAGGAGACAAGTGTTGGCTATAATTTCAGCGTTTGCATATTTTCATAGAGAAAACAAAGATAATGTAACTTAGTCTTTAGGAATAATTTTCCGTACTTGTATTTCATAATTCAGCATACATATAGGTTGCAAGATATATCTTGACCACTCACTTTCCTAAAACATTAACCACATAACAAGACCCAAAACTCAACCATTTATATTCTCAAGTCAACTAGATACACTTAACAACTAAGTATTATCTAGTATACTATTTTTAACAAAAAGATCATTTTAGTTCTTAATATGTTTTTACACTCTAATGAAGACAAGCTTCCTAAGTGTCCGTAGCAAAATTTGCTTCAGAGATTCCCGTGTCTTGGAACTTATTTTAGAGCACGCTCAGGGATCAATATGCTGACTGATATCAATATCTTATTTCATAGTTACATACAAGTTAACTGCTTGTGTAGTCTTAAGAACATAGCCCATCAGTGAAGTAATGAGAGACATCATGTTTTAATCAGCCTACTGATCAAAATCTAAACTTTAGAATGCCTATAATGTATGGTGTTCCGAAAAAAATTCAGCGCTATCAAATTTTCAGCTAGATGACAATTCAGGAAATGCAGAGTCATCCTTTATTCTACACGGGTCAAAGTATTTGAATGTCTATCTTTCTGGTTACAGCCAGGAAGAGTTTTGACCAAGAAATAAAACTTCAAATGTGCAACAACACCTCCATCTATCTGCAATAGCCAAAGCATCAAACTAATTTTCGCCTCATAAGTTTATGTGAGGGGATGCTTCTTACCTGCAGTTGCGTATGAATTATTTCCAGCTTTGATTCCTGAAAATAATTAGCAAGGAATCATGAACGATGTAAAATATTGAAAAGTAATTGCAGGCCAAGGACATAGAATAAGAAAACTGTACTTGATCCTGAAGAGCTTCTTTGAGCTGGGAAAACAAGCTAGCCCTAGTTGCTTCAGCACTTTCAAGTTCACTTACACATTGTTGAAGAACATTTTCCTGTTCCTGTATCTCATCCAACAATGTAGATCCCTGCAGACTTCCTACAATAAATAGTAAACCATCACAAATAGACGAAGGAACCATATAATGCACAAGACCCTAAAAACACTAGTAAATAGACGAAGGAACCATATAATGCACAAGACCCTAAAAACACTAGGATTTGAATTGGACAAAAATCACTCTACTCATAAGATCTAAAATTCAAACTATTCAGTTACCAAAAAAAAATATAGGGGATAGAAGTCACAAAAACAAGTGATTTTTTGCATGTAAGTTGGACAAAAAAACCTCACTTGAGGCATATAAGAGGTCGCCATCTTCAATTTTGTGTGCATATCACTTGCGACACACACAGAGAGTGCGCAAAATGATGGGTTCAGCAGGTAGCAGTTACTTACATACCGATCTCCAACCAAAACTAAGGCTCAGAAATCATATTTGCTTAAATAATAGAGGAGCCGTATAAGCTAAAACTCAATGCCGATCAGCAGGGACAAATCGACACTCCTAGTCAGTTCAGAAGTAATCACTCAAAACTACTAACGCCTCCACACCAATCCATCCCATTTTTTCCGTAAGAAACATGAGATCAAAGGGTACAAAGAGGTTGGATAAGGAATTCAACAAAAGATACAAGAGAAGACTAGAAAATCACTATAAAACTGGACAATACATACTATCAGAAAACCGCATGGCAATTTTGATGAATAACAAAGGGGGGAGGGTCCCTAAACCCTTAGTAACTGATACCAATAAAATTATCAAACATTTAAGCCTTTGCAAAAGACATTTTACTCAACCTAACCTATTGCTAATTTGTCGAGCTTCGCTTTGTTAAGAACTTCAAGGCACATAAACCCTCAAGTCTGACAGCAAACTGAACACCTAAATAATGTAGACAAGGTTATGAAATTTTCATTCATCACCTAATCAGAAGAAAATTGTATCATCAGCAAACTATAAATTAGAAACTCCCATATTTTCTTTTCCAAGCACAAATCCTTCCAACTAAATCAAAATTTCTCATCCTCGTCATTAGTTTACATAATACTTCCATAACCAAGTAAAGAGAAAGGTGACATGAATCCCCTTGTTTGAGTTGTCTAGAGCACTAATTCATCCTATCAGTCTACCATTCAATGTAATTAAAAAGTTCAAAAAACTCGAGCAACCTTAATCCACCTCCTCCATCTACAACAAAACCTTAAACCTCTAAAATAAAGTCTAAGAAACCTTAGTCCCCATGATTATAGGTGTTTAAACATTGATCTTGGAAACAAGCCCCTCCTTTCTTTTCAACCTATACTACCCCATAATTTCATTGGCAACCAAAACCACATCAATAAATTGCATGCTCTTTCAAAAAGCACCTTCAAAAATAATACAATGTCACCTAAAGCTTGTCGGAACGTCGTGGATAAAACCTTAAGAAGAATACTCTAAAAGACTATTGACCAAACTAATGGGTCCAAAGTCTCTAATCCTCAAAAGGTTTGATATTTTTTGGGATCAAAATAATGTCAAATAAGGATTCACATTAACAATTGCACTTTGGATATACACTACAAATATCTTCTTCAAACCCTCCTTCATAATCTTCCAGTTGTCGTGGACATTGCCGTATAATACCATCAGGGCGAGGAATACAACGGTTAGGTTTGTTCTCTTCTCTCTCAAAGAGTAATCACAGCCACGTAGTCTTCCATTTGCATTCTCGTTTGCTTTTTGTTAGATGTCAAGTAGTCAATTATCTATTCATCGACCTCTCAACATTCTCAATTTGCTGTCCTCTACCTCCATCTCTCTCTCATAAATTACTAATTTGTAGGAACTTCAATGCCTTTGTATTTGTTGCCTACCATAGATATTGTTTATTCACTTTTTTCTTTCGTGCTAAGAATAAATTACTCTAGTATCTCCTCTTATAAACAATAAAATTAGTGATTGTCCCATCAATGAAAAGGGATGGTAGTGTTCATACCATATTACATAATTCTGTTAAGGGTAAAATCTAGTTTACCTCCTTGTGGTTTTAACTTGGCTTAAATTTTTTGCATCCATGTTCTCGAATCTAGCATGTGCAATAGTTAAAGTCACTTAGAACGTAACTAGAAACGATAGCACTTTAGTCTAGAAACACAAGGGGTTTACGTGATGATTTCCAAGCAACATAGGGTGAATTGCAAAATGCTCAAACCACAAAAAGGTAAAGTGGTAAACTGGATTTTCCCCTTCTATTTTCGTAATCCTTTCAATCAAGCACTAGCATAACAATAAGGAAATGAGGACAAACGGAGGGGCAAAAGAGAAGAGAGGGCCAATATAGTTCACTCTATGGTCACTGCGAACCCATCATGAGTCCTGTTCACATCAACAGTCTATGGTAACCCTTTCTTTGGGTAGAAAAGGACTACGTTCACCACTGATGTCCAGTCACACAATGTTCTTGCAACTTGCAAACATGCCCAAATGTCAAAGACAATTTCGGATTCAAATGCTCCAGAAAGCTTAAGCGACAAGATAGCAATATATTACATGAACTTCAAAATGCCATTTCACATCCAATATGTGCTCCGCTTATAAGATGCATAGAAATTCAACACCAGACCTTATTAATCTATACAGCATTGAAGTTTTAATAGCAATTGCATCCCCTAGGTCTCTAGGACAAAAAAAGGAGTATAAATGCTGGAAAAAATAAAGATCCCATGGTTTTCAAATAACAATTCATACAGTTAATTGAAATCTTTGCTTTTCAATCGAGATCGAACCAAATCGGGAATTGCAAGATTTAGAAGTAAACACGATAGGTGAAAACAAATAATATACACATGTAAGAAACAAAACAAAACATTATATCCAAAACTAAGGTCGCTGGTAGTATACTATGACTTACAGCATTACTATTGAAAATATAATAATGCACTAGTCTCCTTAGGGTTGCGAACACACTGTCTATACTACCCAAAACTTTGCATTAATGAGGGAGTTTATGGCTTTGCCATATCAATTTACCAGTTTTGTCGACATCACACAGTGTTGCCACAACATAGCTATATAAAGATTTGAACAAATGTTAAATATTTCATGTCCACTTTTTTACAATATTTTTAAAAGGTTTTTGAGCCTTCAACATTTCTTCTGCTTATAATGCAGAATCCATAGTGATGATTTCTGCCAACATCTTGGGCTTTCTAAAAATAATCCACCGAATTGCCATCATACCTAAAGTTGAAGTCCTCTGGTGTCCACTCCACCCTAGTATTCAGGCCTCACAATCACTAGCCAACATACTTTTCTCATGCTTTTCTGCCTTCATTTAGCAATATGTTTTGCCCCTATCTTGGCACTTGACAAAGTGTCTAAAAAATTTTGGTAAGTTACACCCCCAATAACCAAACGCCCTTATTACTCGTTTGAACAACATTAAGACAAAATGATTTCTATTGTGTATTTCCGGTTTGTTTTTATTTTTAAATTGGATGTTGATTGCCACAACTCTCTGTCAAACAACTCCATACCACCACCTGATTGTCATTGTTGATTAGATAAATTGTGGATTGTAAATTGATGATTGCAGTTGGTTGAATTGGATTTGATTTAGTAATGCGATTGTTTTTTACTTTTTTCTTGATGCAACAATGGCAATCAAGTGGTGGCATGGAGTTGTTTGATAGAGAGTTGTGGTGACGACAATGGCACTCAACTGGTAGCGAGGAGTTGTTTGGCTGAGGAGGCCAACGACTAAGGAGCCGTCCAAGCGAAATAGAACTACAACTCATCATAGGGCGAAGAGATTTGCTCACAAACAAAGGGCATGACACACCCATTGGCCTTAGATGGACAAGACAAAGCGCAGAACTCAAGTGACAAAAACTCAAAGAGGTGAAGGTCCTGACAAGGCTAGAGCCAAACAGAGGGATGGATCCGGGGAGGGAAATGGGGGTGATGCCACGGAATGCATTGCGCTTGGTGATGCAATACACCGAGTGCCACCCCGATTGTGCATGCGATATTCCCGTAGGTTCGTTTGTCGTTGGGGATCAAAATATTTCATTCTCATTCCTAGGAACTCAGTAATGTGGCCAACTAGGTCAGTGGGGAATGAGAAAGATAGATTTGGAAGGACTTTATTAGGAGGGGCCGTAGCGTTTAGGCATACAAGTGGGAACGCATTAATAGATAGCTAAACGTGGATGCGATTGTCATTCCCCACTAATAGAAGTCGGAGAGAAGGCTTGGGGTGATGGGTTTAAAGACCGGTTAGGACCAATGAAGATGAAAGTGGAGTAGGAGTAAGGGCTAATTTTGAATGATTACGGGATAATTTTGGATCTATTTGAATTTGTGGGTCGTGTCTTTTCACAAGACTCTCGATGCGCTACCGCATGCGCTAGATCAACAACCGAGGGCAATTCCAGAGGCGTTGTTGCAGGCGCCAGCATCGGCAAAAGTTCCCTCCTCCGCTGTGAAAACCCGCTATTTATAATTATATCTATTGAGTTACCAAGTTTTTAATTTTAATAGAAACTCGGATGAAGAAATGGACTTAATCGTTGAATTCCTCTCACAAAAACAAGTCTTACTAGTATAATATTGACCATGTTTGGTATCGAGGTCAAATTAGCTCAAGTTAAATTAATTAAACGGAACTGCCATGACTATTTAGCTGACATTGGTCATGATAGGAAGGCAAGGAAACATAATTACCCTACCATTGCCGCCCATGACTCTTCACCGTATGTCACAGGTCACCCCTTATCATAACTATGACTTACCAATTAATTGGATAGAAACCCTCTCCTTCTTAGTGTATAAATACCGGCAAAACAAATGAAAGATGGGGAGAAAAATAATCTGCCAGTCTTGGTACTGAAAAGAAAGTTGCGAGAGAGAGAGAGAGAGAGAGAGAACCTACATTGTTGGAAGAGGAGAAGCTTAAGGAGCAAAACTTTGAACCTACAACTACTAGCTCTAGAGAAAGGTAGGAATTACAACTCCTTTATTTTCTTCCATATCTCTCTACAGTTTTAATTTTTTTTTTTTTTGCTTTGTAAGTTGCTGATCTAGTTATATGTGGTGTGCATGTCGATGAATAATATGTGTGGATGAGCTATGTACATATATATATATATACATGCATATGAATGAAAATTGTCAAATGGGTCTTCGAATTTTATCAAGGAATGAGATGAAAATTTATTGAAAAGTAATCTAAGTCCTTGGTGATGAATGGGGAGTTTTAGATTTGAAAGAAATGAATAAAAGAAACAACTTATGGCAGAAAAAGAAAAAGGGGAGAAGAAGCTTTACTGATACAGGGCTATGGACATTAGAGAAGATGAATGAAATTTTGTCTTAATTCTAGAAAGGTCCCTTAACCTTAAACATGTTATACCTATGTACTTTCTGAAATTACACAATGACCACAGAAGTTTATAAAACATTTCCAAATGCCAAATCAATATTTCTAGTAGTTAGGAAATGTTTCTGAAATTGTATATTGACCCCAATAAGTATGAAATACTTTTGAATATTACAAAATTACCTCTAATTGCACGATGAAGTTCCTAAAGATTCATGAATCGACCCAAAAGATTATAACCGTGTGAGAAGACCATCAAATCACGTGTGGTCTTTAACATGGTATTTTCTTGGAGTTGTAAACTACTCCCATGGCGATGAAAAATAGGTATATATATATATATTGATTGTTCAAGTAAAATGTGATTACTTATGAAAGTTAAACCACCCATATATATGAAAATTTACAAGAGAATTATCATGTGTGAAGGGTGGTACACTTCCACATAGTTAGAATGTTAAATCATTATATATATATATATATATATATATATATATATATATATATATATATATATTGATTTGAGTAGCATATACTCGTATACAATAGGATGTTGAAGTGATATTGAAATGCTTATTTATGATTATGTTATTTGCATTTTGGTTGTTATCATGCTTATTTATGGTTATTTCGGTTAGAGTTTGAGACCCATGAAATGATAATTCTTGAAACGAAATTGGGACAAGTAAGGAGCGATCGTTCCTCCCTTAGGTGAAAGACCAGAAACAAGTCTTGACCAAGCGTAGCATCCGTCGACGTGCGCGATTACTCGTACCCTGATTGAAAGTATCTAAGGACGAGGGGGTAGAGTACACACGAGGTTAGAGCCCTCAAAGGGACCTGAAGTTCCCAAAGTGTTTGTGCATAGCAAACAGTGTATTGACTTAAATGGACAGATACCGAGAGTGAAAGTCTAGTGCGACCCCATGACATGAATGGGTAAGATTGGTTACTTGATTAATTGAAATTTTAAATTATTCATAGGCATCATGTTTGTTGGTAATGTTTATATAATACCTCATGCTATGTTTTAAATAGGTTGTTACATAAATATTATTCGATATGAACTTACAAATATTGATACATATTTTACGGGATGGGATTAAAACTTAGTAGTTATTCCTACTAAGCGTGGCTCACCCTAACATATTTGCAGGGACTAGACCAAGAGATGACGAGGATTTCTTCCCAGAGCTATCTTGAAGATCTGTGCTTAGTTGGCTTACGAAATATTATATTTCACGTTAATGTTTGAGAAAATTCCAGACTTATGACTTGTGTTTTATTGCTTTGGTGCTTTTTCAAAACCTATGGGTTTAACAGTGTCGATTAATGGACTATATTTGCGATGAATGTAATTTGGGCTTGTGGACTATGATATTAAATAAATGCTCAAATTGCAAATCCATTGTACCTAAGTTTACTTTGAGAGGTCATTAGATGCTCGGATTATCCAATTTTATTTGGAGTAATTGAATTGTTCAATTCATTCGATGAATTGTGTCTATTACTACATAAATCACATAAAACATACTAAATCACCCCTTGAGAACCGGGGCGTCACAACCGCTCCCTATGCGAATTTAGACTACGATCCTCTGGAACCACAAATTGGGGGAGAGAGCCTCAAGTGATAGTTTGGGAGGGGAGATCAATCTCAATCTTTCGAATCTTTCTCTCCTGCCATCGATCGTTCAAAGGGTCAGTCATTTTGGTCAAGAACGGGCCAAGCAACTGTCCTCAATCAGTCTGGTAGCATTTTCCGTATCAGCTCTTCTGATTTGTATCAAGGTTCTATCCAATTCTTCTTTTATATTCTATATGGCCGATTCTCTTTAGCAAGAAAGCGTGTTCAATGAGTCATTAGTCAATGAACTCGGGTGGACGTGGAGAGGATTTGTTTGGTTATATGTGCATGACTTTGTGTCGCTTGCACAAGGCAAGAGAAAGTGTATATGTGTGGTGTGTGACTATTTAGGCGTGAATGTGTTGTTTGTAGAGACAGACACAGAGAGGTGCTGGTTTTGGAGTGAGTGTAACGCAGAGAGAGAGAGAATAGGAGAGATTAAGAGAGTTGTGTGCATATCTGCTCTGTTGTGAGTGTATGTGATCGCATCCAAGACAGAGAAAACAGGAAGAAAAAGGGAGGAAGAACAAGAAGTGTGTTTGAGTTTATTTCTAATGTTCAAATGAGGAACAAGAGTGTGTGAATGTAGGGAGTGTTTTGATAATAGAGTTAGAGACACCCTTCAACATTTTCGATGGCAGCTAATGCATGGGACCACATTGTTTCAACATCAAAACTTTAAGGATTAAATTGACAATTGAAACTTTAAAGACCAAAGTGAGTAGTGCTAAAGCTCGGGGACCATTAGGATAGTATACCCTTGAGAGAAAGGACGAGAAAATAGGTAAACAATAGTTAGTCTCAAAACACTTGAAGATGCTCTAAAAAGCAGATCTCAGGGGACAAATAGGTATAGTTTTATAACAGGATTTTTTATGTTATTGAATTGTTTGAATTGATTTTTAATTGCAAATCGTATGATTTTAATGCAGCCAGCTAGCATTAATTTAAGTTTCAGTCAAAGGTCTTAGATAGTGCAAAATTTATCAGACAATAAGTCTTACTTGATTTTTGACTATGTTCTCAGAATTATGAGGTACTTAACAAGCTAGTTGTCTCTTTTTCTTTTTTTGATAAGGTTAGTTCTCTCTTTTGGACTTTACATAGTTGGAAATATAAATATGCCAGCTGTACTTGAATATGTACTGCTATATAGGATCTGGATCTAATGTAGGGAGTCTTGGTCTATCCAATAATCAATTACTTGTAAGTGTTCTTCAGGCTGGATCTTCCTTTTATTTCTCCTTTCTTCCTCTTCTCTTGTTCAGAATCAATCGCAACAGTCAGTTGGAGCTGTGGACTACATCTGTTATCAGAACTAGTGGAATGATGAACGTGAGATTTGCGATTATGGCTGCTTAAGAATGCAGTAGGAAGCCTACTCGACAGATGGTTGATCACAATCCTCATACAAATGACGTTGATTTTTGAATGGATACATTGGGTCCCTTACTCATTGAGAAGCAGATATAGAATTTCCAACGTCTGTTGAAGAAGGTGAAGGCATACAGTGTGTAAAAACCCAGAATATTTTTCTTTGAAATAAATAACTAAAACTACCGACATATAATGAAAAACTTGGATAAGAAAAAAGACTTCAAAATTGACTTTCCCTCATGAAAATGAGTCGGATGACTACTATATTGACTATGTCTTGCACCCAAGGATCAAAATATCGTTTCGAAACAGTCGAAACATCCAAAACGTTTCTGTTTATAAGGAGACCGAAACGAAACAGTGATGGAATCGAAATTTTGATATTTCGAGGTATTCCACAATGTTTTTAAATGTATTATAATATTTCAATACATTTACACAATTATTTTGGAATATTTCAAGATACTTTGATATATTTCCATCAATGTTTTAGAAAAATAATTCTTAAATTTTTTATTTTTTTTATTATGTTTCTAAAATAAGTCGAAACGTTTCCGAAATACGTCGAAACGTTTCCGTTTCCTAGGTGACCGAAACGATATTTTGATCCTTGCTTGCACCAGGGACAAATTTCCCCACATGATATTAATTAAGTGGACTCCAATGAAATTACAAAGACTAAATGAGAAAAAAGGACAGCAATTCAGCTGCTAGTCACTTTAGCCTATGACCTATGGACTATCCTATTCCACAACTTAACTCAAAACCTATACCCATACAAACCATGATTTTTGGATCTTGTCCCACTTTATTTTTTGTTAGATCAAAATGATGAATGTGGTAAAGAAAGAACAAAGAGGGAGAAAAGGAAGGCAGCCATGTTACCATGGAAACTGAGAGAGAGAGAGATTTTCCCTCCATTGTTGAAGGTGGTGAAGCTTGAGGAAGGACTAAGCTTGAGTTGTGGATCTAAATTGGGAGGTAGAATTTGGATGTTGAGTGTAAGATCTCACACCCTTTCTAAGAGCAATAGGAAGAGAACAATTATCAACATCTATACCAACACGAGATGGAGACTTTTCTTTTGAAACCTATGTGGGAGAATCTGAAACTAGAGTTG